AAAAAAAACAAAACAGATGGAGGTCAGAGGTAACTAACCCAAATTTCTCATCAAAATGACAAGGAAGAGTCTATTCTGAGGATGGAAGCTGCGGGGGGCTGGCAGGTTGTGGTTTTGAGCAGGGTTGGAGGGATGTATGAAAGAGATTGGGAAAAGAACAGGGATATGACAAGTCAAGGCACAGCATGACAGTTAGGGACAAATGCCAGAATTCTCCCAAACAAAATTAGCCTGGCCTCATTTTCATATACTCCTCTATTTGCTTTTAATCAAGAACTATTTAGGAAAATATAATATAAAAGCTACTACAGAAAATATCACTTTCAGTGACCAATATATTTTTTTTTGGCTTCTTTTTTCAAATATACATTTGTTTTTTTTTTCTGTTTCTTTTTGTTATTTATTTTGGTCTAACCTGCTTTGAAGACTGGGACTGTCTGTGAAGAATTGGAATTCCCAGCACAAAGAACTTTGTTTCATATACTGAATATTGCACACTGCACTGCATATATACTGCTGAAGAATAAAGGCTTCAAAAATTATTGTTAAGTTACGGGGAAAGACAATGAACTAGCATCAATATAATTTTCTGACAGTACCAACACCTCAACAACAAAGAGCTTTTTCCCCCCCATCACACGGTACGGTCATACAGTTTTGACTTGTCAGTTTGAGTGCTGCTATACACACACACAATCTAAACGAAACAGGTGAAAAGATGAACAGAGCTACTCATCTTCTAAAGTCTCTCAGGCTTGATCCAGAATCAGTTCACTGCATAAGAAAGCCATAGCTTTCCAAGTTTATTGCTACATCATTTACTACTGAAAGTTTTACATAGACTACTACACTGATGCATTTGCACAGCACCATTTCTTTGCTATGAATCAACCATTAGATATCAATATTCTCTTTTCTTTCACACAAAAGTAGCCAATTAATGAATCTCCATGGTCAATTTAACTGCGTGGGCTGAATACTGAAATAGAATTCATTCATTCCTAGAAGTGCCCTGAAGTTTTGTCCTTTTGCTCCCTTTCCATTAGTCTATTAGGGGGTCTATTACATTTAGTGTGTCTAATGCTATGATTTGCACTTTCAAGAACCACACAAGAATTCTGTTTAAACCCATAAATCAAAATGAACTGACACACAAGCAAGCTCTATTCAAAAACCTAGTGACCTGCCTGCCTAGATAGCATTTTGGGTATTATAGACGTGCACCCCAATTTTGGAACAGCCATAGGCTGCGTTTACATGAATGCAGAGATCTGATCTTTTGATCATATCAGATTTTTTGTCCCATCGGTTTATATTCATATAAGACACAACTCGTATACGATATGTGCGTATATATATTAATTCCCATCCAAACTAGAACAATTCCTTTGGTGATCACTTTCAGCAACACAGTTGACTTTCTGTTTTTGGATGTCCGTATATAAAATGTAAAACTGTCATTGATGTTTGCAACACAAAATTTGACTGAACAGATAAATTATTGGTAGTTTCCATTAGAGCTAGAATTCTGAAGTGAAAAAAGTAGCGCTGTGAGAATACATTCACTTGAATGAATTTAAGAAAGAGATGCGTGTGAATTACCTGCATCTGTGCAGTATCTTTATATCATGAATCTATGAGTTTAAGTACTTCAAAATCATCGAGGTTACAACTTTGTTGCTGAAAAATAAAATCTAGCGTTCAGTAGAGAATCTATTCTATTCATAAAATTAATTGAGCAGGTTTATATGCTCTTGAATGTTTCTGTGTGTGCGTAATTTTCTACCTATTATAAAGTTTCCTAATCTAAAGTGATTTGTGCAAGTGCGTACAGGCATGTGTGCTTCATAATACGACAATAAGAATAGTTATATTGTGGGTAAATATGTCGCCCTAACCTGTGGTCATAACCTAAATCATATATAGATGTTTAGACATAGGTCAGATTTCCAGATATCCAATATATATCTGATTTAAAAGTACATTTGAAAGTGGCTCAGAATGGATGCAGATTTTTGTGTTTATACACGTGCGACAATATCTGAGATGTGAGTTAATAAAAAAATTGGATTTTTTGCAAGTGTAAACGCAGCCAAAAAGTACACAGGAAACCCATGCTGCCTTGTACACATAAGCGAGCCTATGTAGAGTTTATTTGTTCCTTTTCAGTTCGGATACTACGTTTATGTAGGCGATAGACAGCTAGGCAGTTACTAGGTTTTGGAACAGAGCCATGGTTTCTCATACATACACAGCAGAACAGACAAGTTAAAACTGCATTACCACACCACATATTCTTACTAAAACCACATATTGCTTGTCTGTGTGTATTTGTGGGGTTAGGGAGGGTTGAGAGGGGAGAGAGTTTTCTGAGGAGTGGAAATCAGCCAGGTGCTTCCTGCCAGCTGGGAGTGGCTGATGGGTATGTTGGAGGTGACACACTGTTGCGGTCTGACACGGCCTAGCAGATGTGAGCCTGTAATCTGTGGGAATGTGAATCGTGGCCTCCATCGCTGGAGCTGCTCTGCAGGCTGTAGTGGTCCTCACCATCGCTAACACTGTCCACGCTATCACCCTCACCTGGTGTGAACTCCATGCCCTCTATGTCAACGTCCATTTCTGTATACACACAGAAATAAAAACTCATTAATAGTGATTTTTACACCTCAACCAATGATCGCAAGAATAAAGGAATATTCTAGGTTATGTTAAACCTAATTTCTATGGATGGAAACTCTGAGATACTGTCAGTTACCACAGACTGATTTTGACTTGTATAAATGAGTGGGCGATACAAGTGGTATGGCTTATGAAAAACTGAGCTTATGTTAATTTTTTTTTCCAGCGCTGCCCCACTTACCTACTGGTTTTTCACTGTACATGTATATGCTGTGAGATCACTTCCTGTTTGTTTGTACATATTGAGGGGTGAGGAGCTGAATTATCAGTGGTAATCAACAGCATATACATAACAGCATATACATATATACAGGCTGTTAATACTGCAGCTGAATGCAATACAAATCTGATTTTCTGCTCACTTCTGCTTGCCAAGCTCAACTTTTAATCATAATAAAAAAAAAATATATATATATATATATTATTTGCTGTTGCGCTGAACGCAACAAAGTGAATGTGCAAATATTTGTCCTTCATTGTGTTACTCCTCATCCAGTGTAGACCGTATCTCTTGATTATAATGATTTCAGTTTCCTTTGGACGCAACGCAAGGGTGTTACTGATCATGCTTGGGATCTGTGAATGATCATAATGTGTGTATAATCCTGAGTTTATTCTCATTGAAAATATAAAGAAGCCAAACAGGATTTTTTTTAACCACACAAACAGCACTTCAACTCAATTTGAACAAAGTGTCAATAGAATTCCTTACAGGAGTGCAAATAAATGAATTGTTCCTACCCTGATTGTAAAGCAAAGGGTGATTGGCTATAGAGAGAACGTGTTACGATTGGTCAGCGAAGTGTGGCTGTTATCTGATTGGCTTGAGTAGACGGTGGGTGGTGTCCACATATTTGTGGATGTATTTGTCAGCACGTTTTGATGATAGAAATGTTTCAAAATCACAGAAGTGCGCAGCGACCCACAAATGCACAGAAAGCCATTCAAAAATGCACTGCAAGCAATCCACAAATACGTGCAGTGATCTAAAAATGCAGAGGATGCGATTCACAAATGAATGCCTGGCAAAGTTGTGTTTGTGACATAAAAAGATATTTATTAATGTTTTTTTTTTTTTTTTGCAAATCTCATTTTATTTATTTGTGAATTTAATTTATGTTTGTGAAACTAAGATTTATTCGTGGATCTCATTCTATTCATTAGTGAATTTTTAAAAATCTCTTTACATTTATTTGTGGATTATAATCTATTTATCTGGATTAATGCAACAAAACAATCTCCATATGTATGGCTATATATATATATATATATATATATATATATATACATACAGTGTTGGGGAGTAAATAGTTACATGTAACGGTGTTACGTAATTTAATTACAAAATAAATGTAACTGTAATCAGTTACAGTTACTAAGAAAAAATGTGTAATTAAATTAGTTACTTATGAAAATGTTAACGATTACAAAGGGGATTACATTTGAATATTTACACACATCCACATACAGATTTAATTGATTTATTTTCCAAATTGCACTGATTACTCTGAGACATACGGCCCTATAATTTCCGCGATGCGGAAAACACAGACTGGTTCGTAGAATCCAGTCATAAAAACGGAAGTCCTATAGCCTAACGCGGACGGAATATGCCACATTTTGGACGAATAAATCAAAAGTAGGTCAGTACACTTGAATCAAAACGCGATATGGACTAGTGTCTGTGAATATTAAGCCGCAAAAAGACAATATATGAATCCTGCACGCTCTGCGTGTTTGTGGAAATCAGGCGCAGATTGGCCATCGGGAGAACTGGGATAATTCCCGGTGGCCTGGCAGCCGATTTGGCACGCTATTTTAATATTATTATTGTATAATTGCCTGCCGAATGTACTAAAGCGATTACTTCCGAATTCGCCATTCGATAATTAAATCTCTAATAAATCATGAATCGGTTAGTCGTGGCAATGCTTTTGCTCGCGCGCTCTCCACCAAACGGTTTGGATCAGAGTAATCAATGCGAGACAGAGAATGGAGTGGACTGTGGAAGCGCACAGGTGGAGCAGAGAAGCAACACTACTGTTCAGGGTTTCAAGTGCAGGAGGACATCAATTGTAATGTTACAGTAGTAATTTAGCAGACAAATAATCATATGTTATAATAGGTTTAGGGGGTTTAGGGG